TTTTTTTTATCGAATACATAGAGTTAACATTACTTTCTAGTAACATTTTTAAATCGCAGACATATAATTAAGAACAAATAAGTTCGAAGACCACTCTTTAAAGATTATTTGTGATTGGATAATTGCCTACAAATTTTGAAAGTAGCATTAATTTACAGTTTCAGATAAGCTTAACGATTTAATCATAAAGTTCTTTTATATTACATGAATTTGACTTGGAGCTAAAGAATACATTATGTTTATGTGTCCCAACAATGAGTTCTCACTTGCACACACTGATCTTCAGACACAGACAATCCTATATTAATACACCTCATATATATATATATATTTTTATTTACTGATGTATTTAATAGTAATAGAGGAAGCTCTTGTTTACATCTACATGATTTCCTGCTATGCATAAAAAATGACAGAAAAGATTGATTACCCTAATACATGTTATAAAGATAGAAACAAGAAATAATCTTAATCTGCATGTTCTGCAATCAACTAATTAGAAAGTTAAGTTGTTGACATGTGAGTAAAGAAAGTTGTTCAAAGTCGGAACTATTCAGAATTTTATTTTCGTTTGGTTAACTCTACAGACTGTAAAGAATCTCTAAAAAACCTCTCAAAAGACGCTTGGCATGAGCTTTTACTGCTTGAGACAGAAAACACTTATGAAAATATTTGAAGTTCCTGTGTATACTTCAGAGTTTGCTGTACGTTTTTCATTATGAGGTGAAAAGCTAGTTGCTAGTTCCATGGGCATGTAACCGCCGCCTGAATGTTTTGTATTTTACGTTACACGAAAGATCGTCATATGAATCTGATTTAGATGGGACTATATAACGTCGACGCGTATTTTTATGCACGCATATTTTCAACTATGGATTTCTATGAACAAACCCCACCTTGCGAATGGACGTTGTTGCGCGTACTGGACCATTACCGTGCAAAGAACAAAACCAAAAAGCGAACTGTTAAATATTTTTTGGACACTATCAGTAAGGATCTCAAGAAGATCGCTTCACCCACGTCCGAATACAATGACAGTCAGAAAACTACCGCCCAAGCCATAATAAGTGATTGGAAGGTAATGTTGGTTTTTGTCTTCAGAAAGGAGGATAGAACTTCACTTCTGGGTGAGGTTCGAAGAAGACAGCCATCGAGTTGGGTTGAAGCTGAAACTCTTAGTTTGCAGTGATGAACTCTTAGTTCCTTCCCCGCTTGGTG